TTAGATATTGATCCTAAAATCAATATTTATTGGAAAGGTGACTTTTTTATTCATTTTACTTAATTTATTAGAATTAGCTTGTTTAGACCTGTGATTATTATACAAACAGTATGATTTTTTTTTGTGATTTTTTGAATCAATTATTGTATTAATGTCTGTTAATTATAACGTAAACATATTTTAAAATTGATTAGAAAAAGTATTTAGTATATTCGATAAGTATAGTAGTTATAAAATAAGACCCAAAATATTACATTGTAGTAAAGCTTACATGCTTTAGTTTTATCGAAATGATAATCTTTATATTTATATATTATCTACATAAGAAGACTGTTTCAAATAAGATTTATATGAGTTCTTTGTCAAAAATTATGAATTTTGAGAAAATTGTTCCAAAGGGTTGTTCGTAAGTCGGGGAAATTTTAAAATATACTTATCTTACCATACATTATCATGGTTTTTACTTTTATATATGTTAAATTCCATAAATTCCACTGCATAAATTTGAAAAATAGATTAAAATAAACAAAATACTTACTTACTAATACTTTTAAATGTAGACATCACAATTATTTAATAAAAAACGATAAAAGAAACAAATCTAACAAAACAGATAGTACAAAAATATTCTATTTTATTAAAGAAATTATCAATTTTTTTGTTTGGACAGTTAATTTTTTATCACTATATATCTCCTTGTAACAAGTTAGAGCTTTTAGAATTTTCTTAGTAAGTCAGGGGATACCTGTACAACTAATATTTTTTGGTAAATATTTCAGAATATTTCTTTGTAAATAAATATAATTTATTAACATAAAGTATTGATTATAGGTTTACTAACTTTAAAATCTATGAATACAGATAACTATAAATAATATACTTATTTTTTATATAACATTTATTTAATTGCTAATTTACTTAAAGCTTTTCTAAATTACAATGTATTGTCTTGACGCTTTCTAATAAACAGAATCATGTATTCTGTCTGAAACAGGCATTTATCAAGCAGAAATTCTAAATAATTCGTTCTATTTTCTAGGTGCAAGGAAATTTATTTATTTACGAACTTTAAATGGGTCAGTGTATGTCCCGTAAAGCTGCCACGGCTTTAGCCGCTTCGGCGGTAGTCGCAATGCCTAAACATCAAAAGCTCAAAGAGGTAAGCCTAGGTTGTAATGCATGTTTAATGAACCTTTTCCTTTGACCCCATCCATTTACAGATCCTGCACTTTCCAGTTTCCATTTTAACGATGTCCTTAAAATACGAAACATATTTACAACTTTATTTAAACATTGACTATACATTTAATCGGTGCCGATCGACAAAGTTAAAATCCCGACAACTATAATCCCGAATAAGTCTATATCAAATAATAAAAGATACTGTTGTGATTATGGTTGTTGAGATTATGATACTGTCTAGATTTCGAATGTCGGGAATTTGATTGTCGGGATGTTGGTATTTCGATGAATGAAACGAAGCAATCATTTCTTTCATTGAAATTGAATCGTAATCGGAATGAAAGTTGCGCGTTAAATTGGTCGGAAAATATTATATCACGGGGATAACGATGCCGATTAATTAAGTGAAATGGATACGAAATTGCGGGATTGAAAGAAACGGCGATGGTTCGTTATGTTATGTATATGATATTCGAAGAACTCTCGCCTTCTCTGGCATTGTTTGCGGGCGGGATTTGCGCAATCCGTTTGTGCATAATAGGAATGAGCAGGTGTAATTTGAATGTTGTAAGTGTTTGCACGCAGTGCGGTTTCCTGCTTTTATGTTCAAATAAAAATAAATTTAAAAAAACTAGGCGTTTGGAATGAATGGTGGAAGAATTCTGCAAGGATACATATTACGTCCGATTATTTAGAAAATGTGTTTTTTTTATCTTTGGTTTTGTTTGGATGAGTCCAAATTCATAACAGAATTTAAAAATGTGAAGAAGGCAAACTATTCATGTATACATACTGTTATTTGGATGTATTGTACAGATATATCTACTTTATCCATATGACAGATGTCAAATAACATTGAAAGTTAAATGACAGCTGTAATTAAAATTAAAAATATTTTGTTGTTTCCGCTAATATTCCGGATTATTTGGAACCGGACTAAACGAGGACTTTCTAACCACATTAAAATAAACTGGAAAAAAAATTGTTTTGAAATTGTCAAACCGTACTATAGTAAATCCAGACTAATGAAATCCGCACAATGCGAGGTTATTCTGTATATGTACAAATCGCTTTTCTGTCCTAGCATATTTTATTTATCATTTGAAGTAAAATCTATAAAGTTGCTTTCATACTGTGATTTGAATGTATATCAGATATACCAGTTACTATATTTATATGACAGCTGTCAGAAAGTTAACTGACAGCTGTTGTTGAACTCCGTGACAAATGTGTGGATGTAGCATAAAATTCATTTATGTCTTTTCATTTACACAATCATAAATAGAATTGATTGCACATATAAAAAAATATTTGTAGCCTTTATCGCAGATTTTGCACCTTTTTTTATTTGTAATGAACTGAATATGATAATACATAAATTCATTTAATATGAATAATTAATGTTTTCTTTTATTTATTAATTTATTTTTACTTTAATTAATAACTAATAAGAATTCGAAACGAATTAAGTTTTGCTCCTTTAGAAAATAAAAGAAAAATTGTTAAAAACATATAAATTATTGACTTATTTCTTTCTATATTATGATATTTTTCAGTTTCAGTTTAATTAACTATAACTTGAATGTAAGTATATATGTTTTTGAAATCCGCATTTTTTGAGTGATGAGTTAAGTATATTGTTAATGAATATTGTGAAATAGTTAGTCTTTTTGGTTCACATTAAGGATATACAAATAACTAAATAATATTCACAAATTATGTTAATTTTATATTTTTGTTCTTGGGATATGTTCAAATTGTCAAGAGACAAAATGAGATTTAATACTCTATAAGAATTTGATTCAATTGAATTTGGATTCGTTTGTACTTCTTGTACTCTTGGTAAAAAATGTCATTTTAATCTTCAGAAACATTGGTTGCACCAATCTGTAAAAATATTATTTAGTACTGCGATTTGAATGTATATTAGCTATACATACCATTTGCTATATTCATATGACAGCTATCAGATAACACAGAAAGTTAATTGATAGCTATCATTGAACTCCATGACAGATGTGTGGATTCGTTTCTACTTTTTTTACTATTGGTAAAAAATATCATTTTAATATTCAGAACCATTGGTTGCAACAATCTCTAAAACTATTATTTAATACTGTGATTTGAATGTATATCAGATATACATACCATTTGCTGTATTCATATGACAGCTATCAGATAACACAGAAAGTTAATTGATAACTATCATTGAATTCCATGACAGATGTGTGGATTTGTTTCTACTTCTTTTACTATTGGTAAAAAATATCATTTTAATCTTCAGAAACATTGGTTGCAACAATCTCCAAAACTGTAGCACACTGAACATTCCATATAGTTATTCATATTGTGTGTGTGTGTATATCAGATATACATACCATTTGCTATATTCATATGACAGCTGTCAGATAACATAGAAAGTTAACTGACAGCTGTCATTGAACTCCGTGACAAATGTGTGGATGCAGCATAAAATTCATTTATAACTTACAGAAACGTAAATAAAATTGATTGCACACATACAAAATATTTCTAGCCTTTTTCTATTTATCACAGTTTTTACACCCTTTTTATTTATAATTGACTGAATAAGATCATATATAAATTAATTTGAAATTAACAATTAATTAATTTAGTATCTCTATATTTATTCATTTGTTTATAATTAATAATGTGTAAATAAGTAAATAATATTCACACATTATGTAAATTTTATATTTTTATAATTTTGTTCTTAGAATATCTTCGAATTGTTAAGAGACAAAATAAGACTTAATACCTTATATGTTGTTCATTCCCTCCTTTCGCTTTTGGCAAAAAAGGGCATTTCAGAACTTTAAAATTGGGGAGATTCATCTTCAGTTTATATTTTAAGCTTCAGAAATATTGGTTGAAACAATCTCTAAAACTGTAGTACAGTAAAGAATCCATATAATTGACTTTGATAAATGATATTCTCCTTCTGAGAAAAAATTCAAGAAAAAGCAGTTTTAATAAAAGTTTGAATAAAATTTAAATTAAAACTAATTATTTAAAATTTTAATTTTTTTAATTTTGACTATTCATCTTGATATAATCGACATTTTATAAAGACTATATCGAATGTTCACTGAATTTAAATCTTTTTATATATTTAATTAACTAATGATTTTCCTTTTATTTCTTGATCTTCTTAAGAAAAGTTGTTATAATTTTCGCAATAAAAACTTTCCATCAATTACCAAAATAAAATTATGTAATTATGTAAATTATGTTTATCTAAAATGTTCAGTTATGGAGGATGTAAGGTACAATATTTATGATTAAGGTTTATTAAATATTTTTATGTCTTTGCAATTTCATAAAATGATGCAATAAAATTAATAAATTCAATTTTGTTATATAAAAGTTAATGGAATACCAGTGTATTTGGATAATAATAAGTCTTGATATAATTCTTTAATTTAATTTGTATTTATAGAATGGCAAATTCATATTTGCTGGAGGTAGTATGAACTTTGTGGTCGATACTTGAGGTAGTTGCAAAAACAAATTTGAGAATCATTCAACGTTGACTGCTACAAGGGACAACATCGTCATAACAAACGTGACACAATTAGTGAAACCTGAACAATCAAATGATTAATTACAATTACCAAGTGTTGTTTAAAACCTAATTAAATATCAAGTGTTAAAACGGATTTGAACCTAAACATTGTTTATTATGATGCTCAACCTAGATTCGGAATGCAAATTCTACAAACTTCTAACCGTAAGCTTTTGTAAACAGATTTAAACTGAAATACACAAATGTAGTATAGCCAAAAATAATGACCAACCTTAATGTGGATACGTCGACATTGCACACAATAAGGCCTACGTTAAAGCGTATGACGTTGAGGGTCGGAGGTGGAAAATCCACCCCGTCAAATTGCGCTCATCGATTTTTGCATTTGCGTCCCCCGTGACGACCGTCGCCTCTCCGCCGCCCCCGCTTTCCGTCTGGCGTCGCCCATATTGATTTTCGCGCGTTCCGCATTCCCCATCAAGTACAAGGTCGTATGTAATTTTCAAAAAATTGTTCATACAACTTCTCGGATTAAGAGTAAAGAAACCTGAAAACTGTTTTCACTGCGGCATTTATTACTTCCTTGTATACTTACACGAACTTCAACTGTTTACGACTATTTCGCATGACCTTTTGTTCCATATGAGCACTGCGGATCCAAATTAATTTCGCATCCAATTGGAACTTGCAAATTGATTTATTATCTTTGTATACAATGGTTGTAAAAAATATATAGGTGGAGGTTATATACTCGATAATCATGTGAGGGCAATCCTTTATCCCATGACACTAATTGCTAATTAAATATATGTTATATTTTATAATTTATATGAATCTATGGATTATTTATAGATAATGATTAAATTATTAGTTTCCAATTATTTGCATATATTTAATATTATAAATATATACTTACAGTTTGCAATTTTCTCCAAATATGTTTTTAATGTTATATCTGTACTTAGAATTTGCATAACAAACAGAAAACTATAAAAAATACTACAATTATTAAAATCTAAGACATGTTACAAACTATCATATTTAGTTTAATAAAAAATTAGAAAAAAAAACAAACATTTCTACAAATAAATGAATATATAAGTAAAAATTAAATAAATTATCAAAAAATATAATTCATAGTAATGTTACTGAAATACTTAATTATATTATATTAAAATTAAAAAAAAATATATTATTTTATTCATATTTCATCATATATATATTATTATTTGGCCCTGATTTATTGTACTAAATTAGTTTAATGCAGTTGAAGAAGAAATATATCTATATAATTATTTACTTTAATATATTGAACTATTTCTCTTATTAATTGTTTATTACATTGTCAAAATGTACAATAATAATTATATCTAATACTTTAATAAAATATTAATAAAATAAAGCAAGAATTGAAATTTCTGCATAGAATAAATATAAAACATAATTATAAAACAAACTATAATAATTTTAACAAATGAATTGTAATCAATTAATATATTTGAAAATATAAAGTAGAAATAATAAGTTTTATTCAGTGCTATATACTCATATTATAGATTATGTAAGCTGTCATATGTTTTGATTTCGTTTCGCATGGATTCCTGTTACGTTTGAAGGGTTGATGTGAATATGCTACGAGGGGACACTTGGAAAGTGACTCATATTGGAAATAGTGTTTGTAGGGTTCAATGCGTAGGGGATGTATAACTCACTATGTTTATAGATGACGTAACTACCCTAAAAGTAAACATTGAGATTGCAGAAATTAGTACTAAGCTAAAATTATGATTTGATGCCAATCTAAATAAAGTAAGGCGTTGCATAAAGTGAACTTGATTGCGTTTAGGCAGTGCATTAGATAATATCTAGTTTCTATTTATAATTCTTGAATGAACTAATTTGGGATAGTTTTTGTATGCGTATGGTAACTGGTATATTGCAATGTAAAGTTTCTATTTTTATTTAAATTCAATTGTGGAGTGTCTATTAATTATGTTTGATTACATATTTTCTTAAAAAAATGTTCAAACACAATTTCTGTAAATAAAATTAGGATTATTAATATTTCCACCATTATAAAAATATTTATATATAAATTTTATTTTTACTTTAATTTCACTAGTTTCTCACTTGAGTTTATAAATACAATTGGATTGAAATTAAAAGTATAATAAAGCATGTTTTTAATCCATTAATAATGTAGAATTTAGATAATTTATAACACTTCTTTAATGTCATTAAATCAAAGAAATTAATAATTAGAAATGATGACATATCGTATATTCAGTTTGTTTTGAGTGTGTATATGCATATGTATGTAAACAATAGGTTGACATTAACAAACTGACAATATTTTCTTTGAAGCTATGTAAAACGTGTATTACCATTGACATTTATTAAAAAGTTAAAGACTTCATAACTTATTTGTACTACTGTTTAGAGATGAGTTTATTGAAAAAGGTCATTGAAACATTACGGAAGTTAAATAATATAAATAAATATTAATATAAGATTTTTTTATTTAAAAACTATTATCCATTAATATTGTTTCTTTATTATTTTCTTTGAAACAGTAATATTATATAGAATTATATAGAATTTGATTTTTTTAATTATAATTTCAAGACAAAATATTGGTAAATAAAGTTAAGAAATAATTCGACAATTATTCTTGTAACATTACATAATAACAAGAAATATTAAGAATAAACATATGATTATGATTGATAAAAATAAATATTTATTAAGTTTTTTTTTGATAAATGTTAATATATAATATTGAAATTGTTGTGGTTATTGGTTTTATATCTAATATTGCATAATATTTTTATATACAATATAGATGTTAATGTAAAAATTTGTTTACTGAGTTAAAAGCAATTATTTTAGTTCTCTGTATACATTTCCGAATATTTTAATCAATGTCAATGTTACAACTTCATAATTTATTTATGCTTGTAAATAAGTGCATTTGTTTATATGTAAGTTATTATAAATATAACCACGTGTTAATAGAAATGTATTATGTGTGTAGAGAACAAGTAGAAAATATTGTATTCTAAACTTGTAAATTGCAAAGAAGGAAGTAAAAGCTATTTACACGCGGGAAGTGTCGTCGCGAAGAATGTTCATGTGTTTTATATAGCTGTTAGGTTTGGATTAAGTAAGTGGAAGATCCATCGATCATGTGCAGATGGTATCCGAGTACTTTCGAAAAGTACGGTTACAATCCCATCAGCATCACGCGAAGAGAAGTCAGTCAGGTGGGCGAAAGAGGCTACTTGTACTATCCTCTACCATCCTTCCAACCTTCAATCCGTCCAAAAACTCTTTTCCACATCTCTCACAATTCTGATCTGTATATCCAACCTAAACCATAATCGATCGGGAGGGATGCTGATGCGGAGGAAGAGACTGAAGAGTCAAGGGGGATGCCCCGCCGTTAATTGATCCTGAAATGAAAATAATATGCATTTTGTAGGACGCAAGTGTTAGAGCGCATGGCGTCGCGACGCCGCAGAGACGCCGATCGATGCGACGCTCTTCTCTCTTTCTCATAACCCCCCTCGTCCACACGCGACCGTGTGTAACTGAGTAATCTATTCGGGACAATACTTTGGAATCGCAGCAGTGCGTATACGTGCATGTGTGGAAACTGAATAGTTTTTCATTTTTTTTTTGTTGGAAAAACGCGCGTCGTATGCATTCGATCTATTTATATCAGAAGGTGGTGGATAGATAGAAGAGGTAGCCGTGGTCGTGTAACGTTCGAGGATTCTGTGGATGTGCTAAAAACGGTATCAAGGTGAAGTGGCTAAAGAAACTGTTCAAGCGTCCTCCTGTTCGCAAGATGGACAATTACAGCAACCTGCTGATGGACGAGTGTCCACCTGATCTCAGGGTAATTCAAACATCTTCCTCGTACCTGTCTTCCCTCGCTTTGCGGCATGCAATCAAGTGAAAGGATCGCTTCCACTTTGTTATTATTATTACATACATAATATGATAATTATAGATGAATTTTCTGATTCAATTTTGTATTGCTAATAGCGAACATATCGAGCACCTTGCTGCAATTTCGATTTCTTCGAACTGTAGAAAGCAGCAACATTGATTCCTAGCGTATTGCATGTCATTTCGGTTTCTTTACAATTATTACTTTTAAATGGAAAATAAAAAATGGTAATCGTGTTCAAGCAATATTAAATCGAGCATAAATAATAAACGTTTATTTAACATCAGCTTTATTAGCTACATTATAAAAACACATTGAAATTTGCCACCATCTTTGATTAATTTAATTTGAATATTACATCTGGAATGTTTCATTTTGCGAATAAAAATGTTATAGTCTTTGTTTAAAATACTATTTTCATTGAGTATAATAATTCATGAAGTATAATAATTATATTATAAATAATTTTACTTCCAAATTAAACATTATTGTTTGTTTTACAATGAAAAAAAAAGAACAATAATCTTCAAGTAATATGAAAACAAGCATACATTTGTTAACATTTACTTTATTAGTTACAACAGCCACCATTTTCGATTTATTTGATTTAATTTTTTGGCTTAGTTCCTTTATAACGATTATTCTATTATTTTTATTATAATAATCAATTAGTTTCTAACTGTTTAAAATAATAATTATTTAATAATAAACTTCTGTTTTTTTAATACATTATTTTAAATTAAAAGAAAAGTTTTTTCTTTTAATAGTATCACTTTTATTTAATTATATTTAATTATTTTATTTTTATTATTGATTTAGATATGTTTTCTAATACATATCTATTAATAATAATTGTTGAAACAGTTAAAAATCATAAATACTAAAAAAAATAGTTATATAATCATAAAGAGAAAAAATAATTTACTGTATAAACTGTATATTATTTAATGATTTTATTGCTACAATTGTTAGTAACGTATTCTACATTCTTCAACTATTTTTATTACAATTGATTTTGTACTATTATCCAATAAATACAAATTATGAAATTTCTTAATAATTTTTATTTTACAATTTTTAACCATTTTTAGCAAATAATTACTTCTTCACATTATTTTGAGAAATACAAGACATAAAAGAATAATTTGGATGAAATATGTGTGCAGTTTAAATGGTTGGTGTAACAACTTTCAGAATTTCTCCCATGCGAATACATCATTTGTCAACAGTATGTGTATACAACTTAAGGTGATAATATTGCAAATTGCATGCAATTTATTATTTGAAATCCTTTTCACTACTGAGTATTATTTTCAGGATAGTTTTATATCATCTGATATAAAACTGATACCAAATGATATGAAGTATACATTTCCTATGATTCCATGGATAAATAAGTAGGTGTGTATTTGTTTTACGGAAGTATTCGATATCAATGCGCAAGGAATCACGCTTCAATTATTGATTATACATTAGTCAGTCTTTGCCCCAATAATATTCACATTCAATCAATTCTATGAGAAAAGATTCATTTTCCAAGCATGTTTTATTAACACAATCAGCTATATGTCAGATATTTATAATTAAGAAGAGCAAATTTAATTAATTATTTTTGTAGTACAAAAACCTTTATAGTATTCTAGAAAAAAATATTGCAATTAATATAAATTATTGAAATTAAAATTTATAATACTTTTTTTCACATATTTTAGTTACAAGATTTACTAAAGTTTCACTCAAATTAACTATGTTTGGGGTATCAAATGATGTCTCAATATTTGGTGTTTTTCTAAAGTTTTTGAAAAATTGGTTAAAAAAATGTTGTTGAAAAAAGCAAATATATCAAAATTAAATAACACTATTAAAATTATTGTTCCTATAAAAAAGTCTTCTATTTTTACATTACTGAATATACTATTTCCAGATCACATTTTAATCTTAACTTCATATTTTAACTGTACAATAAAATTTGCGCTTAATTATATTTAATTTCATTAATTTAAAAACTTTTAGTTTTAGACTAAATTATTCTTAAACAATATTTTCTGTTTACATTTTTCCTGTCATCCATGACATGTTATTTAAATATCTAAGTACTCTGAAAAATGTTTTGTTTCAGGCCGTTTAACATACTTCACATAATTAATTACATGTAAATTTTTGGGGAAGTAAAAATAGAAACACAAGTGAATCATGAATAAATTTAATCGGTAATACTGCGGGTTTTCTCACGAACGTCTATGTTATTTTTTTGTAAATGTATTTCGTTCTACAGCTTCAATTTAAATTCTGGAACGGAAAGGTTCTGAAAAAGTAATCAAGTTCTATATTCTTTCCTTTTTTTCCTTCAGCTTCCTATCGCCCTTTTTTCGTGGTTATCGTTTCAACCCCCAATGAGATTTCATTTGGAAAGGGTTCGAAAAATAATGAGTCACCCACCACATTTCCAAGTTAAGAGGAAGTCGGTTTCCCTCAATATTTGAAGTGGAAATGAGTACGCTTTGCTTTGAAGTGCCGTGCTTTGGATACTTATTACATCTTCACTTCGTATATTTTTTGTTTTAATATTCCTGAGTTTTGAAAATTATTATTATAAACTTATGTAGCATAAATAAAAATTTTACAACAATAAATAATTTAATAATAAAAATAAACATTTTTAAAGAAAGATTTTTATTTTTCAATTTATTTCAAATTAATTTCAACTTATAAATAAATATAGAAACACTAATAAATTCATTATATTTTGATGTGAAAATTTTAGGAACATTGCCAATTGATAAAATATTTACATGCATTAAAAAAAATCAAACGAAAAAGAAACGACTTTAATTTATTTTAGATCAAAAATTTAAAAAAAATGTCATCAAAACATAAACAAATATTTCTATAAATTCAATAATATAAAAATTACCTTAAATTCAGCTAATAAATAAGTTATTATAATCAGTAACTAATTATAAAAAATATTATATATTTAAAAAATAATTATAATACTAATTTGTTGCAAAAATTATAAATGCTGTGATTTAATGTATTAATACCATATATCAAATATATTTGTTATTGAAATTATGGTGCAGAAAACACAGTAAATATTATTGAAGGCAAGTCATGAAGTTTGCAATTTATCGTAGAAGGAAAATTGGAAAACTCTTGGACGACAGCCAAACTGCTGACAATGAGATTGTAGTTATGGTATGTTGCTTTCTTGATGAATGTATGGTCGAAAGAAAAAAACAATAGTTGGTATAAGAAAGTCAAAGTTCAAGAAATTACGTGATTTATTATAGAAAGATATTTGGTATATAGCCAACTGTGCTAAAAATGAATAGGAAAATGTTTTACTGCTGATTTCATTTAACAAATGGCCTATGAATGTAAATTAATATATTTTTGTAAACAACAATGATTTAAAAAAAAAATCATAATTTTATCATAATATTTTAATATCATATTAGAAATAATAACAATAAAAAGAAATAAATCAGATTTACTTTATTATTTAATACTCACTATGTATAAAAATAAGATATACTTTTAGGAAATTGTGTGCTGATATAAACAATATCAAATATTTTAGTAATAATACATACAATAGAATATTTTCTATGTCAGGAGAACTTTGAGAATATTATCTTAAAATGTTTATAATTTATTTAGACTTTTGAAGCAAGAACAAGGTAGGTTGTTGCAAACTTTAAACAATGCTGCAAAAAAATCTTTTAAAATAAAAAATTGAAAAATATTTTCAATTAACCCAAAGAATTTCATGTTTACTTCACTTGGGGTAATTTACACCTATTCTATGAAAATAATAATATATTTTTTGGAGAAATAAATTATTAACCAATAATGATTTATTATTAATAATAACAATTAATTCAAATAAGTATTTACAAGATCTATATTTTATTCATGATACAAAGCTTAATGTACTAACAAAATGTAAATGCTATAACTATTATAATTATGAAAGTTGCTATTGCAAATTAAATGGATCAAATGACAAAAGTAAATAGTTCTAAAACCTTGAAAAAAAAAATACTTTTGTTAAAGAAAATGGATTTAATTTAAAATACTGAAATGAATGTATTTAAGAATATTTGTATAAGAATAAAAAATGGTATAATTATATATTCTTTATTCAAGAAAAGAGCGATATAAAAAAAATAATAACATAAAATATAAATAAAATCATTTATTCACAATACAAATTATTGTGTAATCCGTGCAAATTGCTCCTATTACTACATTATATTATAGATAAAAAAATAGTAATGGCAATAAACTTATTTCCAAATACAGGAAACCAAAATGAATTTATTCAAGAAAATCTAGGTCTACGGCCTCTTAAACCTTTCATATCCATTATAGTGTTCACTTATTTTTTTTTTAAATTTTTGTTCTTGTATACGATTAATTGTCCATACACATTCTACAGCATTTTTTTTGTTGCAGCAGCAAATTTTTGTAATTAAAATATCAGAAACTCGTTTGACCGAGGAAATAAATAATACATAAGTGCATAAATTATGTAAATATCGAGAAGTTGCGCAACGCCAACAACGGCTTTAAATAGATAGGAATTTAATATGGAAAATAAATTATTAAAAAAGAAATGAAGTGGAAGATATACATGTACAGAAATACATTGCATAGTTCGGGTAATCGGTTCCAATATACCGAATTGTTTGAAACCGGACTAATCGAGGACTTTAAAATCTCATAAATGTAAACATCACATATACAGTAAGACCTCGTTTAGCGCTTAGCGAAACAGCGTTATAGGAGGTCATTTTAACACATAGCAAATAGGGTAACGGCAACACGCGACCAAAAATAAATTAAATTTTTCTTTAATTTTAAATTGTATTTATAGTAATTTGCATTATAATATATGTTTTACATAACACAAACATTTGCAGACAGAAAGATTAAGTTAA